CTGCATTTATGTCAAAGGCGAACAGAAAAAACAGATGCTCGCAGAATTTATACCTCAAGTCGCACTAATCAACATCGAAGACCTTGGATGTCCACGTTTGGATCAAATATGCGATGAAGACACCTTACCTTGCTGTATTTTTCATATGGAATTTAATCCAAAACAATGTACATTCTATAAAGTATTTGCTATAAGGAAATGGTTTATAAATAATTCTTAAAAACTATGATTGTATACATTTTATTTAATAAATATAATAGTATTATATTTTAACATTGTGTTTTTTATTTATACTAGCATTTAAAAGGTTTTTTTTAAATTAAATATATTATTCTACCTTAATTAATATCTATCAATTATACACTATAAAATAAAAAAATAATACAAGAAATATATATTAATCTAACTTAAATAACTAACATACGGGTAAACGTACAGAGTATTTATACATTATAAAGGTGAAAATACTACAAGTTTATACTCTAATCTATTATTTTACAACAATATATACATTAACCCGGATATTTATAAAGTATACATTAAAAAGGTTAAAACATTACAAATGCCTTTATGATATACAGTATTTACATTTATTTCAAGTTTATGTGTTGCATTTACAAAAAATATATATCAATCTATCTCAAGACATTATAATATAACAATTAATACAGGTCATAAAATTAAATTATTTGATTATGCACTGAAGAAGGTCTCTCTCGATCCATAAAATCTAGTTCCAGTAAATAATGTCCATGGGCCAGTGTATTTATTTTATCTTCTAGCACCACCCTCTTGTCATCATAGCTGTTGTAAGTTAACTTTTTAGTTTTTATCGTCATGAGCTGGTGGTTAAATGAACGTATAGATACATTCTCAGTGTAGGCATCTAAACCAACTTCACCAAACAAACATTTTCTGTGGGCTTCAAGAGTCATGCGGTTCTTAATCACATGCTGCCTTATCCCCTTCGCCTTAATCTTCTCTCCTCCTACTCTGTTATCATCATCTTCTGGTCCAGCATATATGTTAAAGGCATATGATTTGCCTCTCAACGCACAAAACTCTGTAATGGCATTAGAGTCCACCTCGTCAGAAAAGAGCCCGGGAATCTTCTTTCTCTCTGCTACATAACACGGATGGTCACTAGGCAGGTTAGCAGTATCCATCCGATCCAACAAGCTGGGGTTAGCCGCCAAGTCAACATAAAAGTCCTTGGTATAGACATGGTATATCAATGAATCTAGAAAAAAGAATGATATTAAATTAATATATCATGTACATACAATATATTAGTTTCAATATAATATTTACCTGTGTCAGTATACATTAGTTTAATCCTGTCTCCATAATGCCTCTGCATGACATTATAATGATAATCATAGATTAAAGTTTTTGAAATTTCTAGTACTGAAAATCCTGTAAATAATAAATGTGTTAATAAATGTATTATTGTATATTATATAAAATATATTTACCAATATATATAGGTTTATCAAATTTTATTAATTTGTTCTCTAGTGCGACTGCATTCAGATTTTCACTGTACCTAATACAGTGTTTAAATGTGCATTTATTAATCAATTTTTGTAACCTCCTATCATGCGACACTAACTCCATCTTCATCTCCTTTCTTTTAGACTGCATTGTTTTACCTAGAAAAATAAAATGTTGGTAAAAATGTTTAAATAATATAAATAAAGTGACATACCAAATACAGCGTTATTCATCAGCTTGAAAAAATCTTTCTCAAACGCATTTCTAGCCTTCTTCCTCATCTCGGTGTTTAGATCTATATATTTAGCCAGCCAATTCGACTGCTTAAATTGTATAACCCTGTGTACCTATAAAAATAAGAAAAATTTTAGTAAAAATTTTTAAAATCTTATAAAATAAAAATATTTACTTTTTCAACTATAAGTCCATTTTTAATTGCTTGCTGCAGGTTCCTATAATGTATAATATATTTCTCCTTTTTCTCAAACGTGACCATCAATTTCCGTAGCTTTGAACCACGCGGTATACTATTTTGTGGGAGGAAAGGCAGATCGTTATGTCCGTTATGCAAGTGCCGTGGGTATGTTACGTCCACCTCGTAAATACGTCCTATGTGTGATGTATTATCTAAATCGTTCAATCCATTCAATGTAGGTTCAACCCAGTTGAACCCACCGTACGGCATATACTGGGACATGGCCCATCCATACAAGTTGTTACCTATAAAATTTAAAAAAGAATAATATGTTTTGAACAAATAACTATATACTTACAGTCCTGATATATTATCCACGAGTCTGGTTTACTTGCATCATAGCCCGGGGTCTTTACATTATTAGCCTTTGCATACCGCTTACTCGCCTGCACCAGTCCACCACGAATACCTATTAAATAAAATAAATTAATAAAAATAAGATTATTATTACATACATATAATTTAAATATAATATAGATATATACTAACCTTTCTCAAACAGCAACAACATATCGTAATCGTGCAGCAATTGTAGCTTTTGCCCCGTAAATTTCAGCATCGCATCAAAACTTAAACCGGGGGCGGTAAAATAATGGGCGGCATCTAGGTTGTACGTTTTCATGCACAGGTCGCGGAAATTCTCAAAAACATCTGCCAGCAGCATCACGTCGATTTTGAGGTACAAATCACTGTATTCACCCAACGTCTTGCATCTAAAGTGCTCCCAGACCTCCTTTGCATGATCAAAATCGCTCTCATTAACCCCGGTATCCGTCAATGTACTGTAAAAGTCCCTTTTCCTCGGTAATCGTGTCTCGTTCAACCTGCTCCAGCTATCAGTATACTCGTACGGGTATATACCTTTCCGAGTTACGAGCGGCATATCGACTTCAGAAAAAACTTTGGCGGTCTCTCTAAAGTTCTCCAGACCCGGTGTCACAAGATTTTTGGCTAGAGTCGACAGTCCTGACGCCATAAACCGAAAAGTGTCAATAAATCGCATGCTGAATGTATTTGACACGTACTTAGTGAATGAAATAAATTTCTCCTCACTGTTAGGTATTACTTTAATAGCTTGGGTGTTATGACCAAGTTCCAACACTATCAAGTGAGCGTCGTAGTTGGAAAGGTTATGAAAAAATATAGGTATGAAGTTCGGTGTTTTGAGCTTGAGATTGCAGTTGTTACACAGAGTTTGTCGATATTTCCCCGATAAATGACAATGATCTACAACCTTATGGTTGTCGTGTGAAAAGTTTGACTTACATAAATTACATAATTGAGATGATTCGTGGGTTCTAATCTGTTCATCCGTGAAAATTATGGGTGTATTCGTTTTAAGTAGTTTTTCTATCTTTAATGATATTTCAGTCACAGTTTCAACAAAATGTCTTGCGACGTCCGTCTTATTCTCGCTTCCCCTGTATAATATTGGTTTCGTAGGTATCTCATGTTCCTTCATTAATTCTATCGGTACGTTTTCGCTTGCCTTTACCATAAATCCATAACTTAATGCCTCGTGTCTATGTATTACTTTCGTGTTTTCCCCTTTGTCCTCGTCCGTCTTCATCAACATCGTCTCAAAATCCGCGTATATCGCAAAGGGGTGCCTTTGAGTGTTTTTCCACCCTTTGAACTCGACACAATCCCCCTCTTTTGGCATCTCGGGTAGTATCGGCTTGTGCGCGCCGCAAATCAAATTATGCTGTTCCAACGCCGCCTGTCCGCTCAGCTTGTATTTTAAATTATGATTATCGAATGACGTAAAACACCTTTTACAAAATACAACGCGTTCATCATGCTTAGTTTTTTGTGCGCGCACAATTCGTGAAAAATTCGAAATGTAAACGTAATGCGAGTTTTTGTCGTCCTTTACCAACAACAGGTCGAAGTGGTCCGGTTTCTCTTCGTCAACGACTCGTAGCGGGTATACCTCATACCTCGGGGACTTTGGTGGCTGTATTTTTCTATCTATACCATAGACGTTAACGGAGACGCTGGAATTGTTTTTTTCGAATTTAGTTATATCCGATAGCGGTGTCGGGAAGGTGAGGCCGTCAAAATTATATTTTCCTTCATGTTTTTTGTAATTTTCACCCACACAGTATTTATATTTATCAGATAAATTATATGCCACATGCCTCGCTAGAATCGCCCACTTAAAACATTTCTGGTCTGTGTTTTGTGGATTTATTGTCCCCCGTTTCCTGTCGATATACGTTGGCAACTCAATATACGACGATCCACTCATCGGTGTATATTTATATACCGCCAACAACAATCCGTCTATGCTCTCCAATGTAAATCCGCTTCCACGTGATTGGTACTCATCTTTCTCTATCATTAACTTCATATACGCCCTCTCTACAATCGTTCTAATGTCACTATCCGAATAAAGTTCTACCGCCGAAGTTTTGAATGCCCGGTTCTCCGACGAGTTTGGTACGTTGGGCCGGTTGTATGTTGCCTCGAGTTTCAAATTGAATTTAATCGCATGTTTTTTTACGTGGGTTTTCAATAAATTGACTAACTCAGGCATAAGCGGGCGGAGAAAGTCAGAATAAATCATTGTATTATCGACATTTTTCGCATAATACCACACGATCATCCTATTTGCGGACGATGAAATCTCGATGAACCCAGGGGCCTTGACGAGATTCAACCTAGTCTTTTTCGCCCTAGCAGCCGACACGGTGTTGGCCGTGGAAACACGCTTTCCGTTAACGGCTACGGTGTAAGAATCTATAAAAATAAAACCTAATATTAATATCTGATAAAATCTAATGACGAATCTATTAAAATTTAATTAACCTCGTGACTAATAAAATTTATTTAACTAGTATCGATCAATAACTAATTTAACGACACGTATTTTATAATTTTTTTTACTACCTTACGATCAATAAATAAATTCTGTAGGTCTATCTTTTATAAATTAACGATATACGTCTTTTAAAAATATAATTCACGGTGGATAAAATCAACGGGTCTTTTAAAAATCTACTTAATTCTGATAAATAAAATAATAAAACTAACCTGTATCATTATCTTCGTTTATGACGCATAATAAGTCGTCCTCAGATATCGCATTCGAACCACCCGCGGTCGGGACATCGGGGACGAATATTTGTGGTGTCGTGATCGATGCAGTTGGTTGAACCATCTGTGCAGCGGGTATAGGTCTGAGGTGAGTAGGAACGTTAACGATACCTCATGAAAAATAAAATATATAAATTAATAATGAATAAATAAAAAAATAAGATTGTATACAATTTAAACTATATATTTTTAATACATACCATGGGCGTTCTTCTGATGTCTATTAAGAGACGAATTACTAGAGAATGTCGATGGGCAAACGGTGCACGGAAAACGTACACCTGCATGCTTCTTTTGGTGAGCGACCAAATTACGTTTCCCGTTGAAAACCGACGGACACTGTACGCATTTAAACATGTTTAAAATGAAAACGAGCGAAAAGAAAAATATATAGTGTTTAAAAATTAACACGGAGAAAAATTGTAATTATTTGCGATGACACTGTGAAAACACGAAAGAGTAATAGGGGGGAGGTGGACGCAAGATGTTGGTATCTGGAACAAGACTGACTCTGTCTTGGCGGACAACGGATCGAGTGTCCAGAAATCATAACATTTTTAGTGAGGGTAGCATTTCAAGCCGTGGGTTACCAAAATATTAATTGGGTATTTACTATGATAAATGTGTACATCATACGATATTTCAGACTATTTTAGGAACCATTGTTTATCGGTACATTCCAGGAATCGGTCTATGACATTTTAAAAATACCTACACCGTAGTAACAATAGTGGTATACAGCATATATTTTTGATATTTAACAATATACGTTTATTTCGTGAATTTCGATAAAATCGTAATAATCTACACTGTAGTTACGATTTACGTTTATACGCATATTTCGTGAATTTCGACATTTTTAAAAATACCTACACCGTAGTAACAATAGTGGTATACAGTATATATTTTTGATATTTAACAATATACATTTATTTCATGAATTTCGATAAAATCGTAATAATCTACACTGTAGTTACGATTTACGTTTATACGCATATTTCGTGAATTTCGACATTTTAAAAATACCTACACCGTAGTAACAATAGTGGTATACAGCATATATTTTTGATATTTAACAATATACGTTTATTTCGTGAATTTCGATAAAATCGTAATAATCTACACTGTAGTTACGATTTACGTTTATACGCATATTTCGTGAATTTCGACATTTTTAAAAATACCTACACCGTAGTAACAATAGTGGTATACAGTATATATTTTTGATATTTAACAATATACGTTTATTTCATGAATTTCGATAAAATCGTAATAATCTACACTGTAGTTACGATTTACGTTTATACGCATATTTCGTGAATTTCGACATTTTTAAAAATACCTACACCGTAGTAACAATAGTGGTATACGGTATATATTTTTGATATTTAACGATTTACTTTTATTTCGTGAATTTTAACAAAATCGTAATAATCTACACTGTAGTTACAATTACGTTATGTTGTAGATATTTCTGATATATTGCGATTTACGTTTATTTCATGAATTTCGATATTTTTGACATTTTTAAAAATACATACACTGTAGTAACAATAGTGGTATACGGTATATATTTCTGATATTTAACAATATATGTTTATTTCGTGAATTTCGACATTTTTAAAAATACCTACAACGTAGTAACAATATTGGTATACGGTATATATTTATGATATTTAACATTATATGTTTATTTCGTGAATTTCGACATTTTTAAAAATACCTACACCGTAGTAACAATAGTGGTATACGGTATATATTTCTGATATTTAACAATATACGTTTATTTCATGAATTTCGACAAAATCGTAATAATCTACACTGTACTAATAATTACGTTATGTTGTAGATAATTCTGATATTTTGCGATTTACGTTTATTTCGTGAATTTCGACATTTTTAAAAATACCTACACCGTAGTAACAATAGTGGTATACGGTATATATTTCTGATATTTAACAATATATGTTTATTTCGTGAATTTCGACATTTTGAAAAACCTACACCGTACTAATAATTACGTTATGTTGTAGATATTTCTGGTGGCGGTGACAGCTGCTGATAATTTGACGGTTGTTGATAATCGTTATCACTATTAGGTATACGTCACGCACGTGCCCAATAATCGTTATCAGTGGTAAGTAGTGGTTACTGATTAGGTTACTGATAAGGCCAACATATTATACTTCGCGCACGTGGCCGATAACTGTTATCAGTGGTAAGGAGTGGTTACTGATAAGGACTGGTTACTGATAACTGTTATCAGTGGTAAGAAGTGGTTACTGATAAGGCCAAAATATACCTCGCGCACGTGGCCGATAACTGTTATCAGTGGTAAGGAGTGGTTACTGATAAGGACTGGTTACTGATAAGGACTGGTTACTGATAAGGAGTGGTTACTGATAAGGCCAAAATATACCTCGCGCACGTGGCCGATAACTGTTATCAGTGGTAAGGAGTGGTTACTGATAAGGACTGGTTACTGATAAGGAGTGGTTACTGATAAGGCCAAAATATACCTTGAGCACGTGGCCGATAAGCGTTATCAGTGATAAGCGTTATCAGTGATAAGCGTTATCAGTGATAAGAATGTGCAGCGGTGCAGCGGTGCAGCGGTCAGAACCCCCATTTATATACTACTGATAATTTTATTTGAATGATAAGCATTTTATGGGAGACCAAGGCCCAAATTTTCGTTTTACTTTAAACAGTGCTAGGAAAATACGTTTAAAAAATAAAAAATATTCTACATAATTCAAATGTATATTTATGCTTCTATTTATGCATCTGCCTTGCGATATGTTTTCTTATTTTAATAGGTATATAACAATTTGATGAAACCCGACTATTCTACAGGGGGGGGGGTTTCATGTAAGACATGTTTTTGTTCTAAAACCACACCAGTTCCAACGCCCTTAAGGTATAATATTAAATTAGTGATGTTAGTGGCATAGTGGACAAATGTGGGTTCTTCAGCAGTGATCGCTTGATGTAGTCATAAAATAATAATAAATAATAACTCAGAGATTTTTCGGTGAACAGACTGGCCTACCTAAAATGCATTGAATATAATATATACTAATAATAATATAATCATAAATAACGGTTCATACTTAGCTATTGGAGCTGGTACAAAATTTACCTTTGATCGAAAATGTAATTAGATAATAATAATTGTTTCACAATAAATATAAAACACTCTATTAGTGAAGGCTATGCGAGCCTATGCTAAATACAACAATTATATCTAAATCTTTCGTGAGACGCGTCACGCTTACATACGCATAAATAAAAATATTAAGTCACGATTTAAGTATACTAATAACAATAAGTAACAATAACAAAAACATTCGGGTGTGGCACTTTTGTTTTCGATATGAGAAAAACAATAATATCAATAATATCATAATATAAAAGAATAGTGATTAGAGCTAACAGCTGATTATAAATTTATTTAAATGCGTGTGAGTGTGTGTGCTGGAATGACATTGTATTATATCTCAACGGAGGTGGTCAATGCCAGTGACCAGTAATTATTATTGGCGCGTCTTATTTTAATCGAACAGATAAAAAACATTCTATACAATAAAGGTTCTGAGCAAATACAGTCCGTCAGTATATATTTTAATGATATAATAATATTTAAACACCTATTTTCCTTTATCAAAGTACACAACGGAAATATGAATGCATTACGTATTAATTATTATTTTATAAATGCATAATTAATGCAGTGCGTAGTGTTCGTACGTTAGTTATAGGTATGAGGTACTACATTACTACATTGAAGTCGTTCGAACATTGACTAAACGAATTGATAAGATAATATTTAAATTTTAAATAATAATAATATACAATATTATAACATAGTATAATACAATATTATGTCTGCTGCCATGTTATTTCTTATAATATTGTTCAAATATAGTATGAAAATAACTAGACATCATACTAGAAACAGAAACGTATAAATACAATCACAATGGTCAGACGAGTTATATTGTCGGAAAAAGTTTGTGGGTTGTTTGGGAACATGAATATGTCGTATTTACTAACGAATTAAACAGTTTCACATCATTATCTCACGCTTATTCTTGACAATAATTTATTCAGTTTAGTTGTTAGTCGGTAACCGACGCTCATATGTTTAATAGAAAAGTGTTTGATAAAATACACACTATCGTTTTGTATTTTTTTCATTAATTTATTTACTTTTTTTACACTCATAATATAATCATATGGTAATAACGTGATTAAGACACGACCATTTTCTAAACAAAGGTTAACGTTACATGATGATAGAAAAAAGGGACAATCCTGTTTTTAACTGCAAGTATGGACTCCCTAACTTAACCAAACCTTAGCCATATAATTGTCATTTAATTTGCTTGAGAATGTGTATATTTATTATAATATAATGTTAACACAACATTTGTATTTATTTATGGAAAAAAAGCGGGTAAGTGGTTATCATTCTGCGCTGTACAGTAGGTTAAAAGTGGGTCACTGTTATGGAATGGTGTTAAATTTTAATTCAATGATAATATAATATTATTGTATACGAAAAACGATTCTGAGCGGAGACTGTTTGTCAGCCTAAGATATTTAATATTATATTTATATCGGTATTATTAATATGGTAACCGGTAAGTTGAATTAAATATATTAATTGCATATAACTTATCATATTTCAATATTTGACTAATATTTTGACCAATATTAATTGACGAATGATATATTATTTTAATCACAACAAAATAATTAAAATCGCTATTCTTAGTTATTTAATATTAAAACTGTGTTGGTAAAACTAAAAGAAATACATACGTATTCTGAATACTTTTAAATGTATTTATTATTCATTAAAAAAATACTTCTTTCCGATCCAGAAAAATTGTTTTAAATTTGTGATATATTATAAATCATGAACATTAATTTAATTCTTTGAACGAAATATAATATTGGCCCATGATGTGATTATTTTTATAAACACCAATGTGTTGTATCCGGTATATGGTCCGTATCTTCCGTAGATATCATATATTTATATGTGGACAAAAATTATAAATGACTTATGATTACGATGAATTATTAATTATTAAATATTAATTACCAACCATTCAAAAACTGACAAAAATTAGTTGTGAAAAAAAGTATTCCAATAGTATACTTTTAAAGTATTCGAATATGTATTATGAATATATTTTTTAAAAAACTATTCGAATAGGTATTCCGAATACAAAATAAAAGTGTTCTTTACAAGACCGAGTAACAGGTAGTTATTTCCATTTTTCTGGTCAATGTAATTTTTTATTCAAATTATCTGGACCTCTATACATCTAATTGCCAGCCCCTGACTAAAGATTTGTACGATTTAACTTTTAGATATGTAGGTGATACTGTAATTTACATTAATAATGTATGATAATAATCATCAACGAGTTGAAGTCACACATCAAATTATGTGACTCGAGCCTAAAAGTTATTTTTATGACTTTTGAGCAGGTAATTAAATAATTAAATGTGAGTAAATTAACTCTTTGTTTTTTTTTATGCAGCCGGGCTCTTAACCTTTCACCCTAATTTTCTATTATTTAAATATCTTAACGACCTATGTGCTTGATTAAAATTACTGCACAACCGCACCCAAACATTTTGCTTTTTTCTTAAAACTGTCTAAGGAAAGCGAAATCAGACTGTAAAGATACAATAATGCACGTGTAGCTGGTCTTTAAAAAGAGAAATGTTACCACTGACACACTTAAAAGAGAGAAGAGACGATAAGTGATGACTATATAAATGTATAATTAATGAACAACACCGGTGTGCAGTTCATAGTGTTAATACGTTACTAGGTACATCTCTACATGTCTACATGTCTACATAGTCTTTCGACCTATGATTCAACGTATCAATAATAATATAATATTTAAATATTAAATAATAATAATAACACAATATTTCTGCTGCCATGTTATTTATTTTAATATTGTTCGAAAATAGTATGAAATGAGATTGTATAATGTGTACATTTTAATAATTAATTTATAGGTAAAATTATACTATTGTGGTACCAAACACCAACTATAATAAAAATCTTAACAAAAATTAAATGTTTTACAAAACAAATCACATTAAGTAATGTACATACGGAAAAAAAGATCAAAATGTCAAATCACCTACATAAAAAAATTAACAATTTTTACCTTTATTGTAAATGGCGTGAGACGTAGTTGTAGGTACTCATAGTTTCAGAAGAGTAGGAATAAAGCACGGCTAAATTGTAAAAAATGTATGATAGTCGTTAAAATATTGAACATCTATATAAGCTGAGTTATGTCTGAATGTTCTTTGTCGTTAGGGAATAGGTTTTATAAATCATAGGTCTTCCATGCACTACTAGCAACTAGTTACTGACTTGCTGTTCATGCTTCTAATCAATGATTTTTTGCCTGGTGGGGTCGAACTGTCATTATACTTTTAATCTATACATGTGATTACAATATTACATATTTCATTAATCTCACTTTTTTAATAATTTCATACATTTAATAAGCTTATGTTATATTAAATCTAAATAATATAATATATTAATATGTATTACTAAATACTAATGAATTGAATATCGATATGAGTATTGTAATTATTATAAGTATATTATTATCATATAACATTTAGATTTCCGAAGACAAAAAAAAATTACATATTTAAATAGCATAATAATTGTTATTACCGTTATTAAATATAATGATAATTTAAATAACAATACGAAACAACTATTGGTAAATCGATTCTGTTTAAAGATATAAATGATTTTTAGACTTTGTAAGAAATGCAACTTTATTACCATTAATCTTTTATAAACATTCTCTTTAATTATATAATTGCTTAAATAACAATATTACTTTCAGTTAACAACATTAAACGTTCGGCATAATAACAGAGACGTGCATCATCACGCTCTCGACATACACTAAAACAAGTTAACGACATAACCTCACAAAATAATAGTAATAATAATAATAGTAATAGTGATAGTAATAATAATAATAATAATAATAATAGTGATAGTAATAATAATAATAATAATCTATCACAGCTCGGCCGTCCTGACCTATCCCAGCCCCTGGGATTAATACATAAGTAAATAACAAAGTTTTAATACATAATACAAATACTAGCAACTTAATACATCATAATTCAAAATGCAAAAATAAAATAACAATAGGTTAATACATAATACAAATACTAGAAACTTAATACATCATAATTCAAAATACAAAAATAAAATAACAATAGGTTAATGCATCAACTGTTCTGCCTAGTAACACATTCTAATAATTATATATTTACCCCTCTAACCCAATGTCTCATATTATCAGAACTAATCACACCCTCATAAGGTACCTGAGTATGTTGGAAACCCTCAATGTCTTTTACTATAAACCTATCATTTGGTAACACCTTATCAACTATATATGGACCTTTAAACCTGGGTATTAGTTTTTTATTTACACCCACACTTACATCTGTATTCTTTATCATAACAAACTCTCCTTTTTTATACAAGGTAGGCTTTTTATGTTTCTCATCATAGTATGTTTTACTATATGATTGACTTTTTGATATATTATCTTCAGCTTCCCTCCTCATTTCCTCCAAATTCCTGTCTTTATCAACTTCCAACAACAACCTCCTGAACTCATACTCCATTGTACCACCTTGATGTACTCCAAACAATAATTTAGACGGAGCCTCACCCGTCGATGCACATGACATATTGTTCAACGCATACTCCACCTCATCCAACTCTCTGTCCCACTTATTTAAGGCTACTGTCTTTTTCGCCAACATTGCAGTTATACAACGGTTCACTCTTTCGACTTGCCCATTCGCCCGAGGTGTTGCAGTTGCCACTAGTACCAAGTCTATCCTTCTCTGAGTTAGGAATTCCTTAAATGCATTGGATGTGAAAGCTGCACCTCTGTCTGACACTACCCGTCTTGGTTTACTATAACATCTAAAGTAGTCACTCATATGTTTAGTTACTTCCACCGTGTTAGTAGTTTTACAGGGGTATAATCTAACAAACTTTGTAAATGCATCAATTATAACAAACAAATATTTATTCTTCTTACCAGTCTTTTCAAGCGGACCATAATGGTCAATATGAATTGTATCAAACGGTATTGGAGTCTTAGGAATAGGGTGCAGCTCACCCTCCTTTTTACCAGAAACTGGGGAATATGAAATACATTTCAAGCAATTTGAAATAAAATTTTTAACTTTTTCCCTTAAATTAGGAAACCAAAAAGTTCTCAAAATCACTTCGCTCGTTTTCTCCATCCCCAAATGACCATATTCTTCATGCGCAGACCTTATTACATTGGCTTCCATACTACTTGGGACATAAAATAATAGTTCACCTTTGTATTTCCTATATACTAAGCCATTCCTCATTTCAAAGTACTTATCCTCTGACTTACTCAACCTCTCTTTTAACTTGCCAATATCTCTATCCTCAATTTGTTTGATTGACAATGTTTGCTCAAAAGTATTTTCAGTTAATACTAATATATTGGTATTCCGGCTTAACGCATCAACATGTTTCATCTTACTACCCGCACGATGTTCAATACTAAAATCATAGTTTTGGAATAATAACGCCCATCTTGCTATCCTGGGATTCAAATCTTTTTTGTTCATTGTCAACTTAAAACTCTCACAATCAGTGAACACTTTAAACTTAATCCCATTTAGGTAAACATGAAAACGTTTTACAGCATACACTAATGCCAAACATTCCAACTCATAACTATGATACTTAGCTTCAACCTCAGTGGTTCGCTTACTATAATAAAACACAGGGTGCATTAAACCATCTTCCTGTTTCTGTAATAGTATTACACCATAACCTAAAGCACTAGCATCGCAATGTATCTCTGTCTCAGCCTTCGGGGAATATAATGCCAGAATTGGCATTTGTACTAACTTATTTTTCAATAGTTCAAAGACCTGTAACTCTTTCTCTCCAAACTTAAATTGAGCTCCCTTTTTCAACAGTGCATACAATGGTGCTGCCAAAATGGAAAAATTTTCAATAAACCTTCTAAAATAACTGACCAGTCCTATAAAACTGTGTACATTGGCTATTGACTTAGGAATTGGGAACTGTGTCACTGCTGCTACATTAGCCGGATCAGGTCTTACTCCCTCCCTATCAACCACATAGCCCAAATATGTTATCCTTGACTGAAGAAAAAAACATTTATCTTCTCTCAACTCAAGCAAATTGTTATTACATGCCATTAATACACATTCTATTATCTCCAAATTTTCTTCTATGGTTTCTGTGGCTATCAGTAAATCATCCAAATATACCAATAACCTTCCAGATCTTATTAACTCTTTAAATACCGTTTCAATAAATCTCATAAACGCTGAAGGACTATTACAATAACCAAACGGTAATCGCACATACTCATACTGTCCTAAAAATGTTGAAAATGAAAGATACTTTGACGACTGCTCAGATACCCTAACATGAAAATATGCATTTTTTAAATCCAACTTGGTAAAGAATATTTTTCCCCTTAACTTGTCCAACAAATCATCTATATGAGGAATCGGATAGTGCTCCTTTACTACCCTTTTATTTAACTCTCTCAAATCAGCACACATACGATATGTCTTGTCTTTCTTTTTCACCAAAACTATGGGTGAACAAAATTCAGACTTGCTTTCCTTAATAATGCCCTGATCTAACAACTCACAAATTATATCCTTCACCGCATCCCTCTCCGCATACGACAATCTTCGAGGTCTGTAATTAAAAGGAGTATGGTCTTTCAAGCTTATGTTAACCTCATAGCTTAATTCTGGGGCCTCCGGTTTCAAAGCTTTTTTGTAACAATTATTATACACTTCCATCAGTTTACATTTATCCATAAACGGGACCTCACCTACATTTAATTCAACATCATCTCCAACCTCATACTCGATTAATCCTAGATTATCCAGAAAGTCATTATCCTTACCTATTCCATATTTTGTATTTACTGTCATCCTACCAGCTTCACCAAACCAAATATCCATCCCTTTAATAAAATCTCTACCCAGCAAGCACTCAGCTGACATGGTTTGATTATCTACCACATAAAATACTTGTTCCTTACTTATATTGTAATCGACTAATGAGACTGTAGTATTAGCGACTGCCTCAATATTCAATTGTGATCCATTAATACCAGAAATGAAAATGTCTTTTTCAAAAGGTTGTCTGTTACTAGTTTTAACAATATGAGACTTGATCAAAGAAATCGGACTACCACTATCTATTACAGCATCGATTATACAACTATCATCGCCCACTTGAACACTTACCCTTACATAATACGCCGGCTCCAATAATCTGATTTCTCCTGATGCTCCGGTACACCTTTGCTCGTTCTGCCCATGAGATCCTTCCTTACTTGCATCCTTGCTTGTTTTCTCACGTTCTGGGCAAGTAGACCGCTGATGTCTCGTGGAACCACATCCATAACATGCTCCCTTTGGCCTGGCTGGAACTGGACAACTTGGTGCGATGTGCGCTCTGGACCCGCAGTTAAAACATATGCGATTCGTTGACATCAACACACCCTTTTGACTTGCTCCACTTACACTTTCTGCTTGTTGTTTAGAACCTTCCACCTTGGGTATCGGCTTTTCATTTGAACTTGAAAAAAAAGGTTTACTCTGAAACCGTCCACTCCTCTGCTCTACTATACGTGAGTAGTCCATGATATCAAACAACAATTCATCTTCATCGTTATGTGTACGACTTAACAAATGCTGGAACAATTCTTTCGATTGGACACCCTCTAAAAACTGTTCCTTTGTATTAAAGAAATCCAGTTCCAGATCTCGGCACAACCGAATTTTCTCGTGGTAGTAATCCAAAATGCTTTCGTTCCTGCTTTGCACACGAGCTGTCAACGCTTTCCATCGACTGCCAATATTAACGTTTCTTACAAACGTCGATTTAAATTGTTTTTCGAATTCTGTCCATGAGACAAATTTCCGACCAATATACCACTGTCGTGCTGGCCCATCTACATTCACTCTCGCCGCCTCCAACTTGAGTGCGTCGGACCAACAATGTAATTCTGCCACTCCACATAGCGTGCTCAACCAGTCAGCAGCCTCATGTGGTTTACACTTTCCGTTGAACGTAGGCAACGTTTTAGACAAATCGGGTGGAACGTACACCTCCGCCGGTTGTTTACCCTTCTGTGCTAACATGCTCATCAGCATCTCATTCTGCTTGATCAATGTTTGCACCAACAGCGCATTCTGGTCTTCCTTCTCGACCTTCTTACCGTCGTCCTGGCCGAGGACAACTTTCATTACTTCCTGTTTGGTGTATTCCGTCTCATCACCGACATTTCCATCCGAACCAATCGAGACACTCATCGTGAATATTGCCCGAATCCCACTTCTGATGTAAGAAATGCAACTTTATTACCATTAATCTTTTATAAACATTCTCTTTAATTATATAATTGCTTAAATAACAATATTACTTTCAGTTAACAACATTAAACGTTCGGCATAATAACAGAGACGTGCATCATCACGCTCTCGACATACACTAAAACAAGTTAACGACATAACCTCACAAAATAATAGTAATAATAATAATAGTAATAGTGATAGTAATAATAATAATAATAATAATAATAGTGATAGTAATAATAATAATAATAATCTATCACAACTTTATACAATATATATTTAATTATATTTTTACAAATATTATTAAGCACAGCTATTATGAGACATGGGTACATTGTACATAGAAAATATAAATTTCGCTTGGATTTTTCTAATAACACTGTTTTTTTTTATCACTGTTGAATTATAGAATCGTTCACGTCCCGGAAATTAGTATAAGTACTTAGTACTTAGTATTTTAACGTAATGTTGTTAAAGTATTAATTACTTACGAGAAACCTTGTTTAAAAATGTCAAATATTAAAGAACTTAAATATTTTATACATATTTAATTACTGGTTTACTCAAAGTGTTTGTGATAATAACGAATATAATAAGAAGACATTAATTAAAGTACAATTATATAAAAACAACAAATATATTATCATAATATGATGTGAAACAATGTTAATACGAATTGTATCAAAAATAATCATGAATGCTGAGCTTTAAAAGTATCATTATAGGTAATCAATGGCTACTACTCCAAAAAAATTAATTGATGCTGTGACCATGATCCAGGTATTATTAGTGATGGGGTTGTACAATTCTATAGAATCTATATTAGAAGCTCCGTCACATTAACCAATTTAACATCTAATACAGCTATGTATCTGCCTGTATTGAAAAGTTAAACTTAAATTAAATATGCTTCATACAATTGTTCAAAGTTATTAAATTAGTAGTTAAACCTGCATAGATAGTATCACCACAGGACACTGTAGTACAAAAATATATAAACTTGAATAAAATATAATTTTAAGTACAATACGAATTTTCACAATTCTGAACTGGTATAAATTCATATTCAAATGAAAAAAAACATTTTGAGTGGGTCTGTAATGGATGTATTCAATATTTAAATTTGAATTCAATGTTATAAAATCATTTTTTACGAATTTACGATAAACGGTTCTTAGGGAAGATGGTCTGTCAACATATACAACTACTTAGCAGGTAGGTATTAAGTATATTCTATGATACTATTATAGTTAATGCAATTTATTTTACTATGAGTAAGACTGTTGATTCAATTAATTTTTGTCGAAAACATTGCGTTTAAAAATGTAATTGTGTGTATACTATATAAGGCGATACTTTAAATGTTTCAAGTATCAATGTATAATATTGTATTTAAATTAAAACAAAATGATGAAAATCGTTTTTCTCTGTTTCAATATCTATGTAATTTCATCCAAATTTTAACTAAAATAATCTATAATAAAATATCGTATAGATGTATATTTTATAGATTTTTTTTTTTTACAGTATTGATTACTTATGACTTATGAGACACTTTGTTTTGAATTTTCAATCCTAAGGTATATAGATAATAAACACATCATATATTTTTAACAA